CTTCGTCCTGTATGACCCCTATTTGCTTATTGTTCTTCATATGAATATTGTAATCGACTTTTAATGTTACGATGCACCAAAATCTAGTGTTATTGTTATTAAAATTACAAAGTGAGCTGAACCAATGTATTATTATTATTATTATTATATCAAAAAAGAAGCGCTAAGCCACAAGGACTATACAGCGCTGCAGGGCAGGAAGGAAGCGAGGGCATCAGGTGGCAAAAGGGAGATGGATGAGTAATAGGTTACGGATAACAGCGGGGTAGTGGATGGTGAAAGGGTAAAGGGCAGCAAGAGACTGAACTAGAAAGGGCTGAGGGGAGTGCGAAAAGTATCATCCGAGTTTGTGGAGTAAATCAGTCGTTGTCAAGAAGTCAATGAGAGAGTCAGGATTAAAGGAGGGTCCATCAGCAAGAAGGGAAGGTAAAGAGAGAGTAGTAGAACGAAGACGACGTTGGAGGTAAATTCTGCGTGCTCGTTGATAGAGAGGGCAGTCTAACAGAATGTGGCTAATCGATACTGGAACTTGACACTGCTCACAGAGAGGAACAGGGTGCCTCTCCATGAGATACCCATGAGTAAGACGAGTGTGGCCAATGCGAAGGCGGGAGAGAGTGGTCTCCCAACCTCGGCACTGATGACAAGAAGACGGCCAGTAACCTATGCTCGGTTTAATAGAATGAAGTTTATTACCGAGCAGAGTTGACCAACGTTGTTGCCAACGGATGCGAAGGTGGGTAGCTATTGCAGCAAAATAGTCCAGAAATGGAACACCTCGATAGGAAATTGGTAGGTCATGTACTGCTGACCGCGCAGCAGTGTCTGCCTGTTCATTGCCCTGTACGTCGACATGACCAGGGACCCAACAAAAAACAATATCTTTATGTTTGGTAGTGTAAATCACACAACGCTGGGTGGTGGAGGATCTGAAGGTGTTCCTGATGGGACATAATAATCACTTGGATCAGAAGGTTTTTTACTAGGCTTAGTTTGATCCTGACGATTCTCTCATACACTAGTAACTATGGTGTATGAGGCACAAGTATTGCACCTGCAGCAGTAAGGCATAATACTCTCTCATACTACTGTACATACTATATATATAGGATAGTTAATTCATGTATAAACCCTCCTCTGAAACTCTTCCTCCGCAGTTGAAACACAACTTACAGCCATAATACAAGACACAAAAATCTCTTTACTATTCCCCATGTTCGCCTCAACCTGTGTAATAATTCATTGCGCATAAAAGGTCCCAAAATCTGGACTCTTTACTTGAAGAATCTAGAGGTTCCCTATCAACCAACCACTACAAAATTACTGAAAGCACTTTTTAATCTTAATGTAATCCTGACAGTAATTTGCAATGGTAAGCAAATCTGTTGTTTATATCCTGTCCTCTCTCTCTCTGTTCTTGTTTCAACATTCTTTTACCTCCCATATATAAATAGATAAGCATATACTATGTCATAATATATTTTTACTGTAATTTAAATAACTGGTACCACTCACCCTGCTAAACTAGACGATTATATTCTCTTACTGTGACTTTTTTATAATCAACCTTTCGTTTGTATCTATTTTTTAACTTCCTACTAATACTGCGTATTGATAGGAACTTGTGAAAACAAAAAGAAAACATTAATTAAACAATAAAACTGAGTAAATTGTAAATAGTGCTGCCCGAGATGCGTTTTATTCTATGGGTCTTCAGATTATTGTATGTCCTGGGCAGTAATACTGAAATATAGATTAGTTTTTACATTTTTATTTGACCAAAATTTGTAATAACTGCTACAAATGTTATAATAAATCCCCCCCCAAAAAAAAATCCATTTGCAGTTATAAGTAATAAAAATTTTATTTTCAGGCTGGCAGAAATGCTCTGTGTAACCAGAGGTTTTCTATAACGTATGTCAATAATGTCGACTGTTCCTGAATCAAGAGTAAATTGTACCTTTTGCAAAATTGTGTCTCCCAATCCATTTGGTGTCGTATCTGTAGCATTTCTGTTTAAGGAATTTGCTTCACTTACAGTATTGTGTATGGGACCACGGTACTTGGCCCTGGGTTCACAGTACTTCCCTGAAACCATAGTACTCGACCCTAGGACCACAATGTCTGGTCTGAGGGCTACAGAACCCAGCACTTGGGTCGCTGCCTGCGGACCTTCCTGACACTCACTCACCCTTCCCTTCTAATCAATTCTGCCATCACTTGTGGCTGGGTTACAACATTGATTAACGCCTTGTTGTTTGCCCAGCGACCTCGCTTTAAAGCTTATAATTCAATTTCTAATACAAATATTTTTAAGAGCATTGCAATGATGGGTGTGATGCAGTGGGCGTAGTACCTAGTAATATACGAAACCTATATTAGGCAGCTGGGGGGGGGGGGATGGGTTCCAGCCTTCTGTATGTGTTACAAATAATATATCTGTTAGCATCTAGCTCCTGGGTCATGCATCTCCCGGGTACACTTGTAACATTTCACAGGACGGAGAGGTGAATATGGTTAACCGGGTATCCTCATACACTTAATATCTCACAAAGTAACAATGGTGTTTATATGTACGCATGTCTTAGGACGGAGGGGTGACGATGGTAGACCGCGTAGCTTCTTCACACAACGCTCAGGTGGACGCTCTCCTCCTGGTGGGTCTTGTGGCTGTCACTCTGGGCTCATCAGTGGTCGCCGCTGCTCTCATCTCCCGCACCTTCTGCTCTAGACCCGAGGAACCTCCATATCCCTTCAGGTGAGTGGTTACCTTATTCCTTCAAGTGAGTGGTTTCCTTGTGTTTCATAGCCTGCTTAACCTATGTAATAGAAAGAAAGATACAATATTGTCCTGTGAATTCAGTAACCACTTCCTATGAGCGAACCAACATGGTTCATTACCTCTTGATAGGATTGAAGAGAACTTGTGGATTATTCCATTCACACGTTACACATATTTTCGAAACAATGAAAACGTTTAGTTGGTCCCAGACAAATTATTTTATATTTCTATAGCTTACTGGAGTCCATGTTATGATTACCAAGTCATAAGTTGGACAGACTGACAGAGTGTTAAGGCCTTGCGTGTAATTTTAAACCATTTGTAAGATTTTCAATTAACACACACACACACCACACCTACACACACACACACACACACCACACACACACACACACACACACACACACCACACAACCACTATATATATATATATATATATATATATATATATATATATATATATACATACATATATAGTACAAGGAATTTGCAAGAGCAGGTGAAATATATACAAACACTGATCTCTGGCTGAAGGAGACTCAAACCTACGAACCTTGGAACAAGGTACGCAGTGCTTAACCAATCTACCCACACTGGACCAATACCTTGGAGTCCAGCTTGCGCTAGATTTTGATCCAAGGCAGCCAGCTTTCAGGGAGAAGGCTTACAGCTTTTCATCTCATCTCCTGCATGCATCAGCCTTACTAGAGATATTAACAATGCAAGGAATTCGCAAGAGCAGGCGAAATATACACAAACACTGATCTCTGGCTGAAGGAGACTCGAACCTACGAACCTTGGAACAAGGTACGCAATGCTTTACCAATCTACCCATGTGTATATTTCGCCTGCTCTTGCTAATTCCTTGCATTGTTAATATCTCTAGTAAGTCTGATGCATGCAGGGGATGAGATGAAAAGCTGTAAGCCTTCTCCTGAAAACTGGCTGCCTTGGATCAAAGTCTAGTGCAAGCTGGACTCCAAGGTATTGGTCCAGTGTGGGTACATTGGTAAAGCACTGCGTACCTTGTTCCAAGGTTCGTAGGTTCGAGTTTCCTTCAGCCAGAGATCAGTGTTTGTGTATATTTCGCCTGCTCTTGCGAATTCCTTGCATTTTTAATATCTCTAGTAAGGCTGATGCATGCAGGGGATGAGATGAAAAGCTGTAAGCCTTCTCCCTGAAAGCTGGCTGCCTTGGATCAAAGTCTAGCGCAAGCTGGACTCCCAGGTATTGGTCCAGTGTGGGTAGATTGGTAAAGCACTACGTACCTTGTTCCAAGGTTCGTAGGTTCGAGTCTCCTTCAGCCAGAGATCAATATATATATATATATATATATATATATATATTATATATATATATATATATATATATATATATATATATATATATATATTTTTTTAAACAAGTCGGCCGTCTCCCACCGAGGCAGGGTGACCCAAAAAACGAAAGAAAATCCCAAAAGAAAATACTTTCATCATCATTCAACACTTTCACCTCACACATAATCACTGTTTTTGCAGAGGTGCTCAGAATACAACAGTTTCGAAGCATATATATATATATATATATATATATATATATATATATATATATATATATATATATATATATATATATATATATATATATATATATATTCAACGCCCGTTATTTCTTATTTTTTTTCGATAAATATTGACGTTTATTTTCATTTTTGCTGTCCCACAAAAGTCACTCTGAACATCGGGAAATTAAATATTATATCGATGTATATCTCACAGGATGGGTGAGTACGTGCTGGAGCCTGCAATCTCCCCGTCCGAGAACAAGGTGCCTGTGACGGAACGACTGATGCAGGTGCAGCCAGCGTGGGGTCTAGCAAGATACACGAGCGTCAGGAGTGTCATGCCTCTCCCATGACTCGTGGTACCGTCCTGCCGAGTAGCAGCCAGGGATTAAGCCTTCAAGGCAGCAACAGAGAAGAGAGAACAAGCCTCTCTTTCTCTTTCTCTGAGGTTGGACAGTTTCTCCTTCCAGGGGAGATAGGTCTTCTATGACCATGTCCTTTTGAGAAAGGCCTCCTCGGGTCTTGCCCGACAAGCAGGAGTCGAGCTGATCTCTTCTACGCAACATTCCTTGAAAGATCTGGAAGCTCATACATCACAGAAACAAAATACTAATTGAATTCCTCCTACGTCAGAATTGGAACATTACATTTCTTATTCTTCGTTGACCAGTCTGCCAGGTCTAGAAGAATAAAAACCATTTTAAATTCAACTAATTCATCGATCATGAAAATTAACCTCCGTATCTTGAACCTTCGAGACAATATTTCATGTATTGTTGTCATAATGATGTACATGGCAGCGATGATTGTTGAAAGTGGTGTGATGTATATCAGGTTATGTTTTTATAAGTCGTATATTTTTCTTGTCGATTTGGGTTATTTCTTGAAAAATTCACTCAACCTCAATACAAATAAAAATAAAGGTGTGTTGTTTCTCTTTCTTCAGGAAGTTTTATGTTCATGTGTAATGTGTTAATGTTGCTGGTTCCTGCATAATTTAAGTCTAATCAGGAAATTTATTGTGAAGAATGTTCATTAATTAAAAAGCGAGCTAATTCTTCCTTGATTTTAAAACGAAGTAACTCAGCTAAATAGTCCACTTAATGCTGTCATTTGCTATCACAGACGAGATGATAATTATCCTACGCCCCAACTTGTTCCACTCATCAACAGGCTTGATCTTGTGACTGTGCACTGCAGGTCCTAACTCGTGTGCCACACATGTGCATCAGGTATGTACATGTGTGTAGCATAATTGTATACGTGTGCCACTGTTCTGTGTATGTGTGTACCACACATATGCATCATAGGTCTGTACATGAGTGTAACACATTTGTATATGTGTGCCACAGATGTGTACACATGTGTGCAACCTTGAATACATGCAGTTGGCACAGTTTCTGAAGATGTCTAGGAATCCCTCATCAGGCCCATATAGAAAAAAAAACTTGAAAATGCAAAGATCTACACTGAAAGCAGGATCCCTGCTTACTGCTAAGACCCTTGTATCTGCTTCCTATTTGATCTCCCGTTTTGTCCGGATGAAGGATCTCCAGACATTATGAAAAATTTTGTCAACAATTTCCATTTTTCTTGAGGGTGTTTTGATATTTAATTTTCACATTTCTAGAGACATATATAATATATATATATATATAATATATAATATATATACAGTATATACATTATATAATATATATGTATATTACTTTATTTTTACCACATATATATTATAGTCGTAATGATTAAACATTTGTATAGTGTCAAATTGTACAATGTAAATTAATATATATAGTTGAATTATCTGAAATGTTAGGAATCCCTATCAATATAAATAATAAATTATAATATAAGATTAACTAAAGCAGGATCCCTTTATATGTAAGACTTTAAATAAATTTACATATTATATCTCCGTTTTCCGGTATAAGGATTCAAGACATTATGAAAATTTTGATCAACAATTTCCATTTTTCTTGAGGTTTTGATATTTAATTTTAATTTTGAAGAATATATATTATATATATATATATATATATATATTATATATTAATATATATATATATATATATATATATATATAATATATATATTCCTTAGCTCACTAATCTAAATAAAGTATTTCGATATTTTTTTTAATCGATAAAATAAATATTGAGAATTTGCAGATTTTACACTGAGTAAAAACCTGCTAAATAATGTTTGCCAGAAATTCTGCCGATGTATAATGTTCCAGAGTGAATGCCACTGGTTGTCATAATATCACCAGGCTTTACTCTAAATACGAAGTCCTTGTAATTGTTGTACGGTCCCGAAAGCACTCCGGGTGTGGAAGTTAACCACCGTGTGTGAATACCACTTCAGTTAACAGGGCTCAGTTCAGGTCTAATTATAGTATTAAAGTTTCGTAGTGTTGTAAGTGTTGCTGTGCTTGTGGTGTGAAATCCTCAGCTACTTCAAATCAATAAACACTCTAAATAATAAACCTAAACTCTCTTACCTCTCCTCTCTCTCTCCCTCTCTCTCTCCTCTCTCTCTCTCTCTCTCTCTCTCTCTCTCTCTCTCTCTCTTCTCTCTCTCTCTCTCCTCTCTCTCTCTCTCTCTCTCTCCTCTCTCTCCCTCCCCTCCCCCCCTGATCATTTGTTTGACGAAGAGTTTCTTTCCAATATTTTAAGCACGTCTTATGTTGAAATAACTTACTGTTTACGAAATGGACCTTTCAACCAGCAGAAGGTTTCGATCAAACGAACAATAACTGGTCAGAGCGGTCCCTCACGTAGCTAAGACCCGCGTCAAGACACCCGTCAGGAGAAACCTTCCCAATTCTCATGACAGGTAAACTATCCCTGACTAACCTCCTGTCAGTTTCCAGCCTCAGTTGCCTATGTCAGCTGCTTCGAACCAAGTTGTCTGGCTCAGATGGTTGGAAGCCGCGAGACATAGCTCGTACGTGTGACTCTTGTTGCTTCTTCTTGTTACAGATTAGCTTCCCATCTCTTCAGCTCTGCCAACGATATACTGTAAAGGTATATATAGTGTGTCTTCAAGTGTATATTTAATATGTCAGTGATGTCACTGTTCGTGTATCATGTTACAAAAGTGTATAATGAAGTTGGCCTTTTCATGTACTCGGCCTTTGACAATTATTATGTTTCCTTTCTTCTCAAGTTATTTTTTATTTTTTTTTGTAAAGAAGATTGGTATTTAATGGTGTGCCAATTGCTGTTATAAAAAATACTGTAAGACAAATAGTTGTTTGTTGGTTAGGATATATGAAGGGAAATTACTCATTCTATTTTAAGCAGAGTTAATACATGTATGCTACAGAAGTAGTTTGACCTGCGGGCTACGCTCGTAGGCTCGTACAAAACTAGCTCACCAGAGGATATGACCTGGTGTCCCAAGTGCGCTCGTATTGATTTGTAATACTTCTGTAGTCGTTGTGACTTCTAGAAAATATATTTTAGAGGAGTGTTGGCTTACTGTCTTTTTCCTTTCTTAAACCTCAGCGTGATGAGGTCTGAGTGTAGTGCTTGACTGTAGCTCTCGGGTCACGCAAAACAACTGAGAATTGCGCACAGCGTGTTTTGTATCTGGGATATATATAAATATATATCATTTACCAATCTGCGGCAGGCCAGGACTCGACCCTACGAACCTTGTGCCGCCTCCGGAGACAGCACAATGTACGCATCACCTTACCACTAGACCATTGATAAATGATCTAAAATCACATGTTTCGTGATTTCGTTACTATATAGACTGCTTGTTGAGGAGGGTATTCAAACAGGATGAGACTGAAATTAATCCTTGAAATACCACTGCCACGAATGTCCTCGGACCAAGGCAAATACGTGCTGTGTGCTTGGTTCTTGTAGGATCGGTGGCGTAGTGGTAAGGTGATGTGTACATTATGCTGTCTCTGGAGGCGGTACAAGGTTCGTAAAGTCGAGTCCTAGCCTGCCGCAGTTTGGTAAATGATTTAAAATCACTTGTTTCGTGATTTCATTGATATATAGTATATATATATATATATATATATATATATATATATATATATATATATATATATATATATATATATATATATATATGTCGTGCCGAATAGGCAGAACTTGCGATCTTGGCTTAAATAGCAACGCTCATCTTGCCATATAGGACAAGTGAAAATTTGTGTATGCAATAATTTCGCCAAAATCATTTTGAACCTAACAAAAAAAAGTACTAAATTATTGTAAACGTATTTAAAATATATTTAGTTGGGTTAGGCTAAAATAAATTGTTCTTGTTATAATAAGGTTAGGTAAGTTTTCTAAGATTCTTTTGATGCAAAATTAAAATTTTTTACATTAACATTAATGAAAAAAATATATCTTTAAACGTATAAGAGAAAATTTCAGAAAGGACTTAATTTTAAATGAGTTTTACATATTCGGTACGACACACACACTAATATATATATATATATATATATATATATATAATATATATATATATATAATATATATATATATATATATATATATATATATATATATATATGTTGTGTGTGTGTGTGTGTGTGTGTGTGTGTGTGTGTGTGTGTGTGTGTGTGTGTGTGTGTGTGTGTGTTCATTCTTTTCGGGATTAAATCTGATTGAATCCCATTCCACTTGAGCTGTGATTTATAAGGGTTTAGCGCTTGTCCGTGAAAGATAATAATTATTATTTCTATTATTATTATTATTATTATTATTATTATTATTACACAAAAAACTAAACCTTCTTGAATTAAATAGCTCCGCCACTTGTACTGAGATTCTGCATATAAAGATAAATCTGTCTTGAAGGGGAGTGTGTGATGGTCAAGGTCAGGTCTCTCAGGAACTAGGAGTCGCCCTCCCCGACCTTCTGAATCAGTTCTCTCATTCCCGCAGCGGGAGGGGGGGGGGGTGACCTCTACGTGTTTAGCGCTTTCCCGGTGAGTGTAATAAATAATATGTTGACTAATTTAGTTTCCATTTTACTGTCAGTGATGTGTAATTGGTTAAACTGGATTGCCCACTACCCTAAACTACCTGAATGTAATATCTAAAAAATAATGTAACTTTGATTAAATTAATTGAAATCGAATGTAACCAAAACTAACCTAAATGATATACAACAGTGATAAGATGATGAATAAGACTCATGTGCAACGCTTAAATGTCTTTATTGATGAAAGGTTTCACCAACACCGTAGGTTTCATCAGTTGAACAGGTGATTACATTACTGGAGGCAGTAGAAGGAGTAGAGAGGCAATTTTGAGGGGATCAGTCCCTCAACCATGACAGAAGTCGGCCAGTCTCTAAGTAAGAGACTGACCAACTTCTATCAAGGTTGATGCACTCTGTTATCTCATAATTCCCCATCTACTTCTATTGTCTCCAGTATTGTAATCACTTCTGTATTCTGTAGAAGGCACTTACTGTAGAGGGTAAATGTGTTAACATGACTTCTAAGTGATGCACATGTGGCTTACTCATCTAGGCTATATTTTCTTTTAACACATCGGCCGTTACCCACCGAGGAAGGTAACCTGCCTCGGTAACCTGCCTCGGTACCGTGCCTCGATATCCTGCCTCGGTAACCTACTTCGGTATCCTGCCTCGGTAACCTGCCTCGATATCCTGCCTCGGTAACCTGCCTCGGTACCCTGCCTCGGTAACCTACTTCGGTATCCTGCCTCGGTAACCTGCCTCGGGAACATGCCTCAGTAACCTGCCTCGGTAACCTGCCTAGGTAACCTACCTCGGTGGACAACACCATCACTGCCCTGCCAGAGGCATTTGGATACTACAGATCAATAACTGGAGCATTTCTCCACCCTGTCTAACCTAATATAACTTAATATATCCTATGGTAATCTTAACACCAGTCAGCCTTTGTTATTATGGACTGATAACGGGTGTTGATCGAGTGTCCGTTAAATCCGAATAACACCAAAAAAAAAAAAAACTAAAAAAAAAAAAAAGAATTCAACTAAGTACTCTAATATAGTTTTAATATTGTCCACACAATTCGTGGTTATCTTCCAATAAACATTGAAAATAAAATAGATAAAAGCACAATTTACCCACTAGATTTTACCCATTATAAAAATCAATTCAATCGAGGTCCATTTTATAAAGGAAATATTACGAAATAAAGCAGGAGTATGTGATGGATAAACAAACATTATAAACAAACATTATAAACAAACATTATAAACAAACATTATAAACAAACGTTATAAACAAACATTATAAACAAACATTATAAACAAACATTATAAACAAACGTTATAAACAAACATTATAAACAAACATTATAAACAAACATTATAAACAAACATTATAAACAAACATAAACAAACATAAACAAACGTTATAAACAAACATTATAAACAAACGTTATAAACAAACGTTATAAACAAACATTATAAACAAACATTATAAACAAACATTATAAACAAACATTATAAACAAACATAAACAAGACTCTTTCCAACAGCCAGGGATTAAATGCAAATATAATCTCCATATACATAAAACTACACGTGGTATAGCCTAGTCCTAGGAATGGCAAACTCCAATTTCCTTGCCTGAGAAACTCATGCAAATTTTAC